GCAGCTGTTCAGTTAGCCGTCCATCTTGAAAACGGTCAGCGTGTATTTTTCACGAACGAGACAGTGATTGATCGTGGTACAAATCCACCTAAAACTACACTCACTGCATTTTTTGAATTGTGTAATAGTACGGATGATTTTGGTGCCTTTGCAAGAACATTACTCTATTCACAAGTACCACGCTATTTCACATGGGCTCAAACAAAAAAATGGATGCCCCGCAAGCAAGTTTCACCAGTTGATCCATGTCTCAATTCATTTAAATCGAACGCTTATTTACAGTTAATCCAAGACACACTGAGTGCTTTTATCTTCAACTGTTGTTGGTTAATGTTACTGGCCCATTATCATTATTATTATTTAGAGTCAATCCAAGACAATTTAAATTTGAAGATACAACAGTTGTTGCCAGGGAACTTGGTATCATACAAATCTACTGATTTTAAATTAATAATTTAATAAATAAACTATAATAACTTTGGCGTTTGTTATTTTTATTTTCCTTTTCGTTCATAGCGCTCCATGCCTATTTCATGCATATACCACAGACTTACACACTTATAATAAGTAAGTTACTTTTTGTCTACACTAGAATTTATCTAGAAACTAGAAATAATTTATATGGCAAAACAACGTTTGTCGGGTTATCTAGTCTTATATATAAAATTAACATTGTCAAAATGTTAGTTACCGTACTCCTCCGAAACGGCTTTACCGATCTTTACCAAATTTTATATGCGTATTCAGTAGGTCTGAGAATCGGCTACTATCTATTTTTCATACTGCTAAAGTGATTAGGGTGTCCCTATCCAGCAAAAATATCTTTATTGCTTTAACAAAAATTTTTTTATTTTTTTGACATAAATTTTTTTATATTTTTAAAAAAGAAAACTTGCTATGATATGAAAAGTTGTCTATGAAAATACTGAATTCATAAAACTGCCCCCTAATTTCTGCACTATCGTTGATTCCCAAAATGTTCTCATTGACCGCGTATTTCCAGATGTACACATACAATACAATAGTACAATAGTACGCGATTGGTAATTAAAAAATTGATGACAAACATTATCGAAGCCACAATTTTGAATGGCAAGTTCCGAAACGAAAAAGTTTTATTGACACGAATTCCAATGATTCTCACAGACAAGCCAATTTAATTCAACCATCAATAAGTCACAAGGCCAAACGATGTCCGTTTGTCGGGTTATCTAGTCTTATATATAAAATTTAACATTGTCAAAATGTTAGTTACCGTACTCCTCCGAAACGGCTTTACCGTTTTTTACCAAATTTTATATGCGTATTCAGTAGGTCTGGGAATCGGCTACTATCTATTTTTCATACCGCTAAAGTGATTAGGGTGTCCCTATCCAGCAAAAATATCTTTATTGCTTTAACAAAAATTTTTTTATATTTTTGACATAAATTTTTTTATATTTTTGAAAAAGAAAACTTGCTATGATATGAAAAGTTGTTGTCTATGAAAATACTGAATTCATAAAAATGCCCCCTAAAATCTGCATTATCGTTAATAATGCATTAATGCTCTCATTGACCGCGTATTTCCAGATGTACACATACTATACATAAATCATGGTGGCTGGCAGAAAGAGCCATTAGCAGCAAAAAAATGTGGACGTTGATGAATTAAACTTCAAGATAAAACAGATATTGCCAGGCGACTTAATATCAAACAAATCGATCGATACAGTTTGTGATACCAACGAAGTTGTAAACTATCCAGCAGAGTTTTTAAACGCACTGGATTTGCCAGGCATGCCACCACACATTTTACGACTGAAAGTTGGATCACCGATTATTTTACTTCGGAATTTGAACCCACCACTGCTATGCAATAGTACGCGATTGGTAATTAAAAAATTGATGAAAAACATTATCGAAGCCACCATTTTGAATGGCAAGTTCCGAAACAAAAAAGTTTTATTGCCACGAATTCCAATGATTCTCACAGAATTTTCTATTAGATTGGCATTTACAAAGACCATCAATAAGTCATAAGGCCAAACGATGTCTGTTTGCGGTCTTATATATAAAATTTCCATGTCACAATGTTAGTTACCGTACTCCTCCGAAACGGCTTTACCGATTTTTACCAAATTTTATATGCGTATTCAGTCTGAGAATCGGCTACTATCTATTTTTCATACCGCTAAAGTGATTAGGGAGTCCCTACCCAGCAAAAATATCCTTATTGCTTTAACAAAAACTTTTTTATTTTTT